AAGGTTCTGCCGTTGAACTATATTCGCAGTAGCGGAAAATAAATTTTCCGCTTATAAATAATCAACTATTTTTCGTTAGCAACCATCTCTTTTAAACTACTACTAATAGTAAATTTAACTCGTCTTTTGGCAGGAATAGCCATCTTCTTCTTAGTTTTCAAATTCATCGCAATACGTGGTTTAGCCATAAAAGTTTTTAAAGAAAAATAACTTGGAAATCTAATTTCTTCTTTTTTAACTAAAGCTTCCTTGATTTTTTCTAATGACTCATTAATTACTTCTTCAATTTGTGATTTACTTAAAGAAATTTGTTTGCCCCTTGCATTGTAGACTCTATCAGCTAATTCCTTTTTTCCTACTGTGTTTGATGATGAAACCGGTTTTTTAGTTATTGTTACCATTATAATTATATTTTCTATTTTACTACTTATATTATTTAATTTTAATTTATCTGTTATCTGGTGGTTTAGGGCAGGATCGAACTGCCGACCTCATCCTCTTCAGGGACGCGCTCTAACCAACTGAGCTACCAAACCTTCTATAATCGGTAAATTGCTATCACTCGAGAGTAGCCTTGATAATCAACAAAAATAGAAACTTCGACTTTAGTAAAGCATTCTATTATTAATTTTATAATCTTTTCCCTTTGCTGATAACCTATTTCCATTACTAACAAAAATTTTCTTGATAAAAATTTTTGTACTTTCCGCAAAATTTCCTCATAAAAATAATAACCATCATTCTTTGCTACTAAAGCCTCAATGGGTTGCTGTTTAGTCATAGCAGAAAGGCATTGATATTCATCATCACTGATATAAGGAGGATTGGCAACAATAATATCAAAAATTTCTTCTGAATTTATAGAATTAAATAAATTGCCTTTCCGAAATTGAATGTTAGTTAAGTTGTGCTTTTTTGCATTTATTCGAGCCACCCTTAAGCCTTTTTTATTGATATCAATTGCCGTAAAATTTCAATCAATTCTGTTCCTAGCTAAAGAAATCACTATATTGCCACAACCAGTACCAATATCTAAAACTTTTAAATTTTCTTTTGGTCCTCAAATTTTTTCGGCTAATTCTCTAGTTTTTTCTACTAGTATTTCTGTAGCTTTTTGAGGAATTAGAATTCCTTCTTTGATGTAAAAAGACATCCCACAAAAAAAAACTTCATTAGTGAGATAAGGAATTGGATAATTTTCATTTAAATACCTACTTAGATTACCGCAAATCTGAGAATAATTAGAAAAACTTAGGATTTTATCATTGAAATTTAGTCAAAATTTTTCCGAAGTCGTTTGGCAAAGAGTAATCAAATCATTTCTTGTTTCGCTATCAACAATATCTTTTTGTAAAGACAAGGCATAATTTCAACAATCTTGATAAGAATATTTAACTTCCATTTTTTATTAATTATTATCTTACTAAAATTGAATATTATTTTTTTAAGATGACTTTATTGTTTTCAGTATTTTCTGTAACACTTTTAAATTTTATTCATTTATTCCTATTGTGTATCTTTTTTTGTCTTAAAATCGAAAATAACTCTTCCTCCCCTTTTTAATACTATTCCCTAAGTAAGATTTTAACATCTGATAATTGCTAATGATTTGACCCTTAGAGATTAATCCAAAGTTTGATAACTTCAAAACAAATCTTTTGTAAATGGTGGAGATGACGGGATTGAACCCGTGTCCTTAGATGGCCACTAATTACTTCTACAACTTAGTTTATTTGTAAAAATCCCTATTGAAATACCAATAAACAAGTATTTATAATAATAGGTAGAATATTTTTTTATATACAGAACAATTATTTATAAGGAATAATAGACAAACTTACAACAATTGACCCAAATATTATTTACGAATCGATTCGAATTGGGCGAATCGATAAGAACTAATTAAGAATTATATTCTTGCGTAGTTGTATCCTGCATTGCTATTGAGCAAATTAACAGGAATTTGATTATCTATTTTGTCTTGATTTTTTCAAAACTTTTTGTTGCAATAATTATTAACCTAAATCTAAGTCAAAACTTACATCCCCGAATCGAAATTTCTTCATCATCAATATTATAGTTTTAAGAATTTAACATCAAGAGGAAGCACCAAAAAATCACACTATTTATTCTCTTACTTCTACCGAACAAATAATCGAAAAGAAATTCAAAGAAGGCAGAAGAGGAAAAGATAAGCGACCAGTTGACACCAAAATTACTTTTCTGGCTAATCCTAATTCTTGAAGTGCTTGGTTATTATCGGTTTTTGAAGAACAATTGTTTGCTCTTAAAAAGTTAGCTGAAGAAAAGAAAATTGAAAAGGATAATTCCGGAGTTCTAGAAGTAGTTAAGGATAAAAAAGGAGTAAAATGACTTCTTTATATCAACCTCATTGAAGGTGAAGAAGACCCTCATTATTCAGCTTTGGAAGAAAGGACTAACTCTTCTTTACAGAATTGAGATGATTTTATGTTTTCCATTGAAACTAGTCAGGATAAGTATAAAAAGTATCAGATAATTCATGCTCTGCAAGATTTCTTTTTTATTGAGTTAGGAGAAAGAAAAGTTCACAAGAAATACTTCCTAATGCATTTCACCAAGAACAAAAAAGAAACTGATAATAATTTAGTTAATTTCTGTTTTGATTGAGAATAAGTAGCCAAAAGTAAATTAAAGAACTTCCGAAAAATTGTTGATTAGTTAATCAAGAAAATAAAAAGATTGGCAAAAATTAAAATTAATATTTAATTCATTTTTTTAAAATTTAAAATATAAAAAAAATGGAACTGAAAAAAATTAAAGGCACTCTTTTTCTCCCTAAAACTAGTTTTTTGTTAAGAAATACTAATCATGTGGAGAACGAAAAAAAAACTCGGGAAATTTGAGAAGAAAAAAAAGTTTACCAACAATTATTAGAAAAAAATAAAGACAATTCGCTTTTTATTCTTCATTCTGGACCTCCTTATGCTAATGGAAATCTTCACATTGGACATTTTTTAAACTTCATAATTAAGGACATTATTGTTCGTTTCCATGCTGGCGAAGGCAAACATACTCCTTTTTTGTTAGGTTGAGACACTCATGGATTGCCAATTGAACACAAAATGATTCAGAATCTCAAAAATCAAGCAATAAACTTGCGTCAAGCTTGTCATGATTTTGCTTTAGCTCAAGTTCAAGTCCAAAAAGAGCAGTTGAAAAAAATTGGTCTTTTTACTGATTTTGAAAAATATTACATTACTCTAAATAAAAATTATGAAGCGGAACAGATCAGAATTTTTGGAGAGATGGTCAAAAAAGGATTAATTTACCAAGGATTTCGACCAATTTATTGATCTTGCGAACACGAAACAGCATTGGCTGAAGCTGAAATAGAGTATTTAGATAAAAAAGACACTTCTCTTTATTTTAAAATAAATCTAGTTGAAGCGCTTGAATTTCTTGGAGAAAAAAACGTTAGTTTATTAGTTTGAACTACCCAACCTTGAACCATTACAGCTAATCGTCTAGTAGCAGTTAAAAAATCAACTAATTATGCTTTAGTCGAATTTGATCAAGAAAATTTCTTAATTTTAGAAAGCCAAATATCTCTTTTGGAAAGGTGAAATGAAAAAAAGATAAAAGTAAAAAAAATTCTCAAAGGAGAAACTTTATTAGGATTAACTTATTTTCATCCTTATCGCAATGATATAAAAGGATATATTGTTGATGGTAGCGATTTCATCGAAGAAAAAGAAGGGACTGGTTTGGTTCATTTAGCTCCTGCTTTCGGAAATGAAGATTTTATAGTAGCTAAAAGAGAGAAGATGTTGATAGAATGTCCATTAAATCCTAATGGAACTTTTAATGAAAAAATTGGAATTGATCATTTAATCGGAAAGAATTATAGAGAAGTTAATGATTATGTAATCAACGATTTAGAAAAAAGAAATTTAATAGCAAAGAAAGAAACTATTGTTCATAGTTATCCTCATGATTGAAGAGATAAAAGTCCGTTAATTTATCGTTTAACCAAACAATGATTTATTGATATACAGTCCATAAAAAAAGAACTCATGAAAAATATTGGGGAGGTAATGTGATATCCAAATAGAACTAAGGAAAAAATGAAAATGATAATATCAGCTCGAGAAGATTGATGCATTTCTCGACAAAGAAAATGGGGAGTTCCTATTCCAGTTTTATACAAAAATAATGAACCGATTCTTGACGTCAAAATTATTGATTGCATTGCTGATATTTTTGAAGAAAAAGGTTCAAACTGTTGATTTGACATTAGTATACTGTCGTTTTTGGAGAAAAAATTTCCTGATTTGGTAGATAAAGAGACTATTTTGGGAAATGATATTATGGATGTGTGACTAGATAGCGGAGTTTCTCATTGGTGCGTTTTGAAAAAAAGTCATTTAATGAAAAAATTATAAAATTAAGAAGTTGAGAAATTTTTATTGTTATAAAAATTTATTTATCAATGACCAAATATTTTCGGAAAAGAAAAGACATTAGTGAAAATTTTGTGTGTTACGATTGCAAACAAGAAAACAAGACTAAGGAATGATTTGAAGACCTAAGCAAAATTGAAAGAATTATTTGCCTAGTTTGTCGTAATAAGTGGTATCAAAATCATTACCGTCCTAAATTCAAAGAAGTAGAATTTTTAAAAAAACAAAATGTTATTATCAAAAGAGAAAATAAATCTCTTTCAGAAATAGCAAATTACGAAAATAAGGTAGATGATTTTGCTAACGTTGATCAATACTTTAGATCAGTAGGAAAAGTAAATTCATTTACTTTTTGTTTTATTTGCCAAGAGGACAAAAAAGAAGTAGAATTTTTCATTGACTTTCAAGAAAAAAAAAACAAAAGAAAAAATTTATTTTGTAAAAATTGTTTGGAATTGAGAATTAAATATTATCGAGAGAAAAAAAACATTATTGTCGAGGTTAAGGCGAAGAGCAAAAAGAATATTGAAAAAGAAAATGTCAATAAATATTTGTTAGGCATTAGACATCAATCAGCCTTGGAAAAAGATTCGATGCCTCAGGGGGCTATAGACTTAATTATTACTTCTCCTCCTTATAATGTCGGAGTTGATTATGGTTCCAGCGAAGATGGTTTAACTTATGAAGAATATCTAAATTTCTCACAAATTTGGTTAGAAAATTGTTATAATTGAGTTAAACTGAATGGAAGACTCTGTTTGAATATTCCCTTAGACAAAAATAAAAACGGCAAAAATAGTATCTACGCGGACATTACTGCTATTGCTAAAAAAGTAGGTTGGAAATATCAAACTACTATCATCTGAAATGAGGGCAATATCTCTCGGCGAACTGCTTGGGGTAGTTGAATATCAGCTTCCGCTCCTTACGTTATTGCTCCGGTTGAAGTCATTGTAGTTTTCTACAAAAATGAATGAAAACAAACGAGTAAAGTTGCTACTTCAGATATCGCTAGTAAGGAGTTTATTGAATGAACTAATGGTTTATGAACTTTTTCTGGTGAAAATCCAAAAAGGGTTGGTCATCCTGCCCCC